TTTTAACCTAAAACTAGTAACGAAACTAAAGTTAAAAGTAAAGGTAAAAGTAAACGAACCAAAACTTAAATTTACTTTCCTTACGTTAAGTTAGTACGTTACCTTTGTACTCGGTTGTTGCTTGATGCAGGTTGCTAAGCTTTTAAAAATGTGTACATGGAGGATATGAAACAAATATTTTTTAGGTTGTATATATACATTTGAATAATTAAAAAATCATAAATTACTACACTAATACCACAGAATTCCACTATAATTTATCAAGCTTAGTAACTAAGATATATTTGGATCTAAAAAAATATGAAATTTTGAGCATACTATAGACACACCCTACCTCATTGAAACATTGGTTGAAAAGAAAGAAATAGTGCCAAGCCCATTAAAATGGCTGATAGAGCCACTAGGGGGACATTCTGAGTTCTGATTGGTTATTCATGTCATATATAGAAGTAAGTGTATATAAGGGAGAGTTTCTAAATATGGAAAGAGGTGGGCAGGGTGTCACTGTGTTTGATTTATTACATGAGCAATAGCTTAGCAAATTGAAAAGATAAGAAGCTCTTATTTTATATTCTAGCTTGTAAATATTGGTAATTTGAGTTTCTAATTCATGCAAAACTATAGACTTAGTATGCAAGACCTGTTTACAATTATCAAATTGGAAATCGAGCCCAAGATTATTAATAGCATATGGAATAAACAATTATAATTATCAATGTGGAAATCACACGTAGAATTACTAATAGTGGATATTTGGTTTTAAAATATGCAAGAAACACTTATACCTATCAATGTAGAACTTTTACCCTGGATAACTAACAGTGTATACTCAGTTTTACACCTTCCAAGATCTGATTGTAATTATCAATGTGAAAATCCCACAAAGGATCACTAAAAGTTAACATTTTCCTTACCTGAAAATATATTTCCAGTATAAACCTCTTTACACAGTTCAGCTATCTTCCTTGCACATCTCCCAAAGGGACTTGCATGCTACTAGCCTTGACACAACTCCCACTTAATTTCACATAATATAATGTGAATTGCACTACTGCATTATGATGTAATTACGTGGCAAAGCTCTCCACCAACAGGAAGGTGACACACCTCCATGTGCAATAACTCCCCCTATGCAGTTACACTTCAAAAATTCATTCTTTGAGGAAGCAAAGAATACAAAAATATAGTAGAAGTGGGGAGGAAGGGTGGGAATGTGTGTGAAGAAGTATCTATTTTCAGGTATGCACACTTCTGCATACAGTTTAGTTAGAATTCCACATTGAAGTGATGGAAGAGCTGACGCAAAGTTTTACCCAGATGAGCTCCCTTCAGAAAGCACCCGAAGGAAGAATTTGACATCTAATGGCAGGACTTTGTAGTAGCACACTCATGAGAGAACAATGTTCATCTAGGGAAGATGGCATAGTATAATAGTGTGTGTTCACCTAAACTCAACTGAACAGATAACACCCACAGGAAGAGGACACAGGAATATAGGTTGTGCTCACCTCAACTTTCAGAACGGACATGACCACAGGAGGAGGGCGACAGGATCGTAGTGCATGCTCACCTCAACTCTACTCAGATTTTGGTTGCAGGTGGAGGGCACAGTATCATAATGTGTGATCGGCTCAACTCTACTGAACAGATACAGGTCACTAGAGAAGGGTACAAGTGGCATGTGTTGTATGTATAGTTATATGATGGGTGACCTGAACTACTCTGACAATATCACCATCATCCCACTTCCTACCAAACTGGTACATCACCCCAGCATACAAGTCCAATCAGTGAGGGTTCTCCATGGTCCACCATCCCAGTGGCTAGGAGCTGATGAACAGCAAAGGTTTCCTGTGCTCCACTCAATGAGAAGATGGAGGGGGGGGGGAGTTCACGGTGGGGAAACCCAAACAAAATGTTCAGATTCCCATTCATTTTTCCTCATCTACATTGCACTCTCACAATTATGTTTGTATGGATTTTAATACTGTATGAATACATATACCTCAAAAGCTAAAATTTGCTCAATGTCAAAGTGATACACCTGAAGCAAGCAGACCTTACTATATTCAAATTCTAGATTTGAAAATAAACTAAATCAAAGAATGTGACTTGCAAGGTCAAGAATATTTTTCTTGATTGCTGTAGCTTTCAATTTAAGTAATATTCAAAAGCATACAAACTCAAGTAAATGATGTAAATAGTTAAATACACAGTTACTGATCAGTGATTACATATGGAATCATCATATTTCATATAGTAATTAAAAATATATGACAGTAATGAATTAGTGAAGACGTTACACACCACATGTTATATAGTTTGAGATTTTAAATATACAAACAGGTATTATAAATAAATTACTATCCATTAAAAAATTTTGAACATATAATGTACTTATCCACTAAGGCACTACTTACAGGATATGTAGAAGGTGAGGGTCTCTTCAGAGTTGCATGAACACGGTGCAGAAGTGGACGAATAGTGCTTGAGAGCTGGGAATAAATGTTTCTCAATCCTTTATGCCGAAGAGACTTGTCTACAAACTTTCTATATTTTAAACTTCCACTTGATGTAGAATTGTATTTATCAGATGGAAAGAGATCTATACACTGCTTATTAAAACTGGAAAAGCTGCTTTCTGGAGTGCTTAGAGGATTTCCAGAGAACACTTCAGGGGAAACTGGCACTGAGCTACATGTACGAGATAGCTCACTGACACTTTTGTCTGAACTGCTTGTATTTGGACTGTTGTCACCCGAGTTTACCCCTTTAAACTGAACAATCTTGGGAGAAAAAGCTCCAATTCTGGTCTTTCCAACAACAGAGGAGCATAATGAAATATCCTTATCTTTCTCTTTATCATCATTTAAACAGCTCTCAAATTCTTGTGGATCATAACAAGGCCAGCCTACTTTCATTTTATTCTTAATTCCAAACATCTTTGCAAGTAAATTTATCTTCTGTCGAAGGTCTCTCATGATATTGTACCACTGATTTAAGGTTTTGATTCTTGTAACAACCTCTATACTGTTGTAAAGTGGAACTTCCTCACCTAGTACTTTTGTGCAAGGATACAACTGTTCTACTTCATCTAATTTTTCTAACATCTTCTCAACCTTCTGGAATGCTTCCGTTTCTTTAATAATGCAGAACTGACACAACTCGCTTAGTGTATCACTACATTCACACTGATCATCACTCATACTATTTAAACAGAAAGAGTCCTCAAAAGACACCTGCCTTGAAAAGTTAAATGGAGATATGTGAGGCCTTCTCTGAGGTATACTTTCATGTGCTGGCTTACAATTGTCACCATTTTTTTCCTCAAACTCATAAAAGTTTTCAAAAGAATCTTTACTGGTCATTCTTGCATCATTTGTTGATGAAAGAATACATTCTAAACATGATTTTTCTAATTCTTTTTCTGTAGGGGCAGCAGAAACCTTTTCCATTTCACTTGATTCTGTAATAGTTCTATTATCTCCCACAAGAGAGCCAAATTCCTTTTGACTACAATCAACTAATTCCTTTAAAGTGGGCACACTGTCTTTTTTATCAGAGTCTTCAATACTCTCATGTTTGATCACAGTTATTTCTTCCAATGTTAACTGACTGGGGTTTTTGTCTTCGATGCAAAAGTTCAGAAGTTCTTCTAGGATCTCATGCACTACGTGACGTTTTCTGGATAAAATATTATCTTGCTCAACCAGTGTAACACCACTATACCATGCCTGTAGATGCAACCATAATAGATCTTTGGATTCTTTTTGGTAAAGCAGTTTCTCCTGACTGTCCTGAAAATTTAAAAATAGAGTTTAACAGGTATCTTCTCAGTTATCATCAAAGAACTGCTGGATCCTTCATTTTATGGATCCTGTATTTATGGTATACTTCTAATACAAATTATAAAAACCTGGAGATAAACTTAAAGTATACAAAATAAAGAGGATAGATAAAAATTATTTACCTCTACTAGTCTTCAATGTATAACTATTAACAGCTATTCTATTTGTATTCTTTTGTTGTTGTTTTTGAAATAAACTAAATAAAATATTATTATGAAATTTAACAATTCTTTTTTTTTACTATCCTGAAGAAGGTCTACAACACATACGTAAAACTATTTTTCAAGATGCCAATCCAAATAAAATGTTTCTTACACCATTTTTCTATCTTGACAGTTATTTCAGATTAAAAAATACAAATAATTAAACAAAATAAGTTATTAGTATCAGAATAACTGTTTCAGAACACATATTAATTGTTGAAAAATATTTACAATTATACATAAAAAAATTAAACAGGTAACAAAAGGTGATGGGTAAGAAAAAACGTAAAGACAGGAAAACTGAGAACTCAACAGTGTTACAGGAGATGGGGTGTCAGCCCCCCAAGTGGGTAGAAGGGATTCCACTAACAAAAAAGGGCAACAGCCATAAGCCATGGCAAAAACATCCCAGAGTCAAGGAGCAAAAGGCATTAGTGTGGAAACAAAGCTGATTCGGAAATGTGTCAACATGGACACATATGTTTGGAGAAGGAAAGAAACTAAATAATCCTCAGCAGGAGTGTCATGTAGTGAGGAAGGGAAATAATTAAAAGACATAGGAGAAAGGAAAGTAGAGAACAAAACTGAGTAATCAAATCCACAAAAAGATGGAGGAGGAATACTGTCACCAACAGGTAAAGAAAAGCCTAGTACAAATTCAGGAAATGGAAAGAGCCTATCAATGCAATCATCCTTATGGACAGGTTCAAAAAGAGGAGAACATACTTCAAACATAATGACAGAAAAGCATAAAAAATTTATGATACAATGAACTACAGTGATAACATCTTCCACATGAGCCTCTTAGTGAGCCTCCAGTAGCAACACTGCCAGATCCTTGGGAGGAAATAATAGTCACTGTCACTTGATAATTCATGATAATTTAGAATTATTCCCAATCAATTTTTCTTTTTTTACTTATTTAGTGGAAATGTAACTTTAAATCAAAGTTAAAACAAACTAAAATGAAACCAAAGAGAATTAACACTAAAAAAGCAGCACAAATCTTACAAAATTGATTGAGAAACTTAGAGAAACACCTCTATTAAAGACAGTGCCAAAGATAAGAATGAAGTTGATTTCAAATGTAAGCTCTTATGGCAATATACTGTACATGTAAAAATGTGTTGCCCTCCCATTGGTAGTGGGCTATTGTCACATGATGATTAGATCTTACACTATCGCACTTCCTGTTATAACATGTCTTAGGTAGTAGATAGCTCAAGACTAGTGGCACGTAAAACCTCTCAAAGGTGATGTGCGAGAAATATCTACTGTGTAAGTATATTGCTGGGAGAAGAGATTCAAGGGATAGGATCACTAACAAAGAGAATGAATTTCATCTACAGGCCATAGAGGAGGAGTGTGAAGTTTGCAGAGGAGGTGACAACTGACAGTCAACATCAAGAAGAGATAGAAAGAATCTGGAATAATGCAACAATCAGACAATGGAGGTAAGAAGAGGGAAAAAATCTTATGAGGTCAGGTGCATCTCCCCAATAATCAGTAGAAACAATAGAAATGTCACATACTCAAGTCATCAGAATAGCAACTCCAGTCACTATGTCACATTTAAAGAAAACATGACAACTCTTTTGAAGCTGAAGTGATGTTGAAGGAGAGAGCTCAAAACTGATACACCTGATCCCAGTTAGGACCTCTAAAGGTTTCAAAAAACAGATATGTGAAATTGTATTCAATAAGATCCACAAAAGTGATTTCATGGAAAGTAATAATATTATTGGTACTATTGGTATTTTTTTAGAAGGATTTGATTACCCATGGTACTTTCACCTAGGCCTTTTTTTTATTGATTATATTAAGAGTATTTATCAAAACCTGAACAGTGGGTTAATGACGATGGGGAATAATGCTGTCAAAGAAACCCTCTCACAGACTCTAAAAAATTTTTTCCAAAATATCATAGTTTGATTAAGAAAAATTATCAAATTAATGTAGGAAAAGAAAATAATTCATATCAGAATCTCTAACTGAAATAAAATATGTTCCCTTCTTTCTCAACAAGTAAATGAAAGAAAGAAAGGTAACACTTCAAATATTAACTAAAAGTTGAAAGTAATGAGCTCAAAAATTCCAACATTCTTAATGAAAAAAAAACATGATAAACATTGCAATGCCAAGAAAAAAGAATGAGCTTTTGTTATATACAAAAGGCTTGAGGAGAGTACTGTGGATGTGTTGCATTCATATTTGTGAAGGGGGTAGAACCTAATGCTGATTGCATCACAGACTTGCATGGTACAAGTTATTACATGTAGAGGTCAGTTTCATTCAAAGGCTTGGTGCAAAAACAAAATCTTCTGGCAGTGGCCCAAAGTATAGGCTATTTGCTCTGTGGAGAGATGAATAGCATTTCACTCATAAAGAAAAATTTGATAACTTGTAAACAACAGAACATTTGTGATATACAGTACTTATGAAACTTTTAACCCAATCTAAAGACATATTAGGCCAACTGAGATATAACAGACAGTTGTGGTGGTGTAGTTACGTGTATTATAAACTGTGAGAACTAGGTTAAGTAAGTGAATTTTATTAATATTAATTTTATCTAAATAATTTACAAATCAAAATTAAGATAAAGAATAATCACACAAAAATATTTATTTATTTAATTTTAACACTAATTATTTATTATTATTAACTTTACCATCATTCAGAAGAACTAGCAAACCATAAAGCTAGTTTTCTTGTTCAATGTTGATAATTTTCAAGTGATATTTTCCTCATTCACTTACACACTGGACCCATACTTGCAGGTGAAGGCACACAACTGAGTTAAGTTAAAGCAATGATGAGTTTACCAAAGGCCCACTTAGAATTTTATCAAACTACAAGTATCAGAGATTAATATATTAGTTTACAAGGTCTATTGGTTAAAAAAATGATTTTCACAGAATTGAGGAAAATACTTCACAATACTTCATTTACTAATGACCATGGTTTAGCTAGTAAATGAATCACCAGGTACAGACTGGAATGTTTTTTTTCCTCAATTCTGTAATTATGGAGTTTCAACAAGTACTGATAGTTTCAAGAGTTGATTATATAAAATGATCTTTCCTCAATCTAACTTAAAAAAAGGTGTTATTACTTGCTTCTTTTCATCAGTTAAACCTAAGGCAACATCTGCTGATGGGCATGAAGATAAGGTTTAACTTACAGTGTTACTTATCATCAAAAGCTTAGAATATGATAAGTTAGAATCCACAGTCAAGACACACTTCTATTGAGTTACAATTAAATTTCTTAAAAATACTAGTTGTTCTTCCAAGAGGACCATTTGGCAACAAAGTTTTCATCAATATAAGTGACTTCCTTTTCTTTATTCTCTTATCAGTAACTTGTTATTGGTCCTAACGATAAGCTCAGCTTTTAACTCTCTCAACACAGTCTCGGGTCAATTTAACCAACCATGTAATCTGTTTGTACTCATTTAACATCTTTATACATTTAATACTTCTAACTTTCAATATAATGTGTACATCTTCACAAAATTTGGCAGTCTTTCAGTTAACATTATAAGTCTTTCACATACAAAAAAACACATTTTTTAGCAAAGTATTTTTAATAAAATAAAATAAAAGATTTGTCCATGAATATATTGAGTATTTGTTTTGAAAAGTCCTTGTGCAAGATGATTTTCATGTTAAGATTAAAAATACTTTTTTCATCTCAAAAATCTCAAGTTTCTTTTGTATAATTCCTGAAACCTCCTAAATATATTTCAAACATTTGTTTTGAGTAACACTTTATATTTTATCTGTTATTTTCTTTATCCTAACTCTATACAAGGTTGATCAATTTGACCAACATCATAAAAAAAAAGAAAAAGAAATCTAAATTACCCTTTTTTTTCTTTCTAGAATGGCTTCAAATTGTAACATGAAACTACATCCATTTATCCTAAGTAGCTTTAAACTGGTAACAATATACATCTATTTGTAATTAAATTTTATTGTTTTATTGCCTTTGAACTGTGTCTAACTACTATCCATGCCATTATAAGTTGTAAATCACTCGAAGGAACAAGCAGCTCACGTTACACTATTGAATTACATTACCCACAAGCTTGCTCCGTGCATGCCTCGTGAAACATTTTTATTAAATTATTATTATTATTTACTTTACCTAATCTAATTTCAACTAACCTAAAAAGATCCCTATGTTTTACATTTTAGTTACTTTTATAATAATAAATAAAGATTAAACAAGAAATAAAATACTCACCCAATCTTTTTTTTTTCTTGCTGCCGATTGTCCATGACAGTTAACCCTACTTTTTATACTAATGGTAGTAATGCATAAATAATTTTGATTTGACTAAATAATGCACCAAAGAACATAAACTAATAACATGCAAAAAGTAGACATCACTTACCTCTCAAAATTTTCCTGGCTTTTTAACTATGCAACAAGAACTATTACAAATTCATCCAAGTTGAATGAAATTGAAATTTAACTATTCAGAACTTAACATTATACAATACATCATTTGATATATGAAAACCTTGACTTTCTATTGGTTATAGGTAATATAAATTAAACATACAAAAGAACTATTAACAAATCCTGAAAGAGAGAATGTGACAGGTTGGTGTGGCAGGAGGGTACTGATTTTCTATTTGATAGCTCTGTAACTAAACAAAATTGAAGGATATAACAATTATGCTTTGTCTGAAGAATTACAATTTTCTAGTGAGTAATTTATGTTAAATTCATACT